GGATGGTGTAATCTAATCCGTGAGAAGTCCTCACCATCCCATTGTTGATCACCAGGATAGGCCTGTGCCACGGCCCAATCACGTGCAGAGATCATCCAATCAGAGTACCTGTTGTGCATGGATTTGGTCCATAAATCATGAACCGTGTCATCCAGCTCAGGTTCCCACTGGAACTTAGCCTACACACACAATGTTTGTATAAATGTAAAAACAATAACCTTGTATGTATAATTATATTAAAATGGTACACCAACCCTAAAGCGTTGGAACATCATGTCACGTGCTTCCTGAGGTACTTCCTTCCATCTATGCCACGGACCAGCAAAGGAAGATCTGAAGATAGTCGTCATCTCTCGGATAACATGGACATCTTTAAACCTGTACAATTAAACAAATATTTACACAAAGACATTCATATTAATTTATTATGTAATACAAAGTCTTATACCACATCTACTTACCCATGGCCTAACAAAGACATATGTCTTCGGTGGCTCGGATGACTCGGTGTCAGCATTTCTAGGTTGGGGCCTCTCCCCGACCCCGAACCTGTCGAAGTTGGGGTCGCCATGGCCTCTTGCTCATCTAAACCGCGAAAAGCGGTGTCCGAAAACTCTACAATGTCATCGGCGCGGGCAGAATTGCTACCCCTACCAGACATGGGGCTGTCACGGCTCCCATGTTAGGGACAAGAAGAGTGTTTTATATGAATATATTGTACTAGATTTCAATAGAATTAGGAACTCAYCTCTCATAGAGATACATCCACCTATATTGGACCGGACCACCATTTATAGCTTCACGTGTCAAATATATCACAAGGTGTTCCATTGAATCAAAGAACCCGGGCAGAAAGACCTTTTCCAACTTGCAAATTGTTTGAACAATACTTGTTTGCAATGGAACCAAGTCATCTATGTGTAACACCCTTGAACATATCACATGGAAGAATGTGCACAACTCCGTTATTGCATCCCATATYGAAGTTGGTATCAGCCCTCGTAAAGCAATAGGAAGCAATCGTTGCATAAACACATGACAATCATGACTCTTGAAGCTATAAAAGCTAGAATCTTCTAGGTTCACACAACTTCCTATGTTCGAAGCATACCCGTCTGGAAACTTCAACTTCTTCAACCATGCACACACTTGTTTTACTTGTTGTTTG